TTGTCCAGTTATAATATTAAAAAGAGCATGAAGCATGCCCCATATGTGAAGAACACACTTGCTTCCATCAGCTCGAACATCGAATATGAGAGAGACAGAGAGACAGTACACCTTGGTAGTTAAAAGATTTTTAAGCCAGACTTTCTATACCGTCGATTGAGAAATCGTGCATGAGAGAGACAATACACCTTGGTAATTAAAAGGTTTGTATGCCAGACTATCTATACTAGACTATCTATATTGTCGATTTAGAAATCATTTAACGGTCAAAACAAGTGAGTGTGCAAGTGCTTCAGATAGAGTTAAAAACCTCAATGTGAGATAAGAAACAAAAGCTACCAAGAGAAGCTTATGGGAAAAGAGATCTATCTTTTTCGATCTTCCTGATTGTGATAAGCTCGACGCACGTCATTGTATCGATGTGTAATGCATATGGAAAAAAATGTGAGCGATAGTCTTTTAAGCACACATGTAAGTAAACAAGGCACGTTAAAGGATACATTGAATGATCAAAGAGATATGATTGCTATGAGAGTACGAGGGGAGTTGGTTCGGTGCCTCATAGGTAGGAGAACTTATCTACCTCCACCATGTAACACACTATCAAAGAACGAGAAACGTAGCTTTTGTGAGTGCTTACACGAAGTGAAGGTGCCCCTAGGAAATTCCTCCAACGTTAAGCAATTGGTATAGATAAAGGTATTGAAGTTGATTGAGTTGAAGTCTCACAACCATCACGTACTAGTCCAACAACTACTATTGGCTAACAATTACTACTGGTTATCAAAGGTATATTGCCAAAAAAAAGTAAGATGCACTATAAGTAGATTGTATTTCTTCTTCACATATATTTGCAGAGCCGGCCAGGCCCAAGGCTGCAAGGGCTACGACCGAGGGCCCAAATAACGAGGGGCACCCACTTTACTTTATATTTGCTTTTATATATATTATGACTATGTTTGGTAAAACTAGCTAATGGTAAAATTAGCTAATAAGCTAGCCGAAATAAAAATTTCAAATTTGTTTATTTGAAAAACTATATAAAGATGCTTATAGATAAGCTTGAGCTTTTTAAAAAAGTTCGTCCTACCAAACAAGGCTTATTTGAATACAGGGAGCTTATAAGCTAACCAAACAAACTATAAGCTAGCTTATTTGGCTACCAAACATAGCCTATATCTATGTATGTATATTGTATATATATCTACTTTACCTAAATTCTGCTTGAAAATCTCTCTTTTCTCTTTAGTCTTTACTCTTTGATCCTTGTTCATTAAATCAATTTTAAAAAAAGAGTTGTAAATAAAATCCCAAAATTAATGAAGACACAACAAACATGATGGCTGATGGCCGATCGTTTTCTCCTCCAACTCTCGATCTTGCTTCGAGCCTTATCATCTTCTCTCTCATACCTAAAATTCTAATGGTCAAGGTAATTAATTTTATAGATTATAAATGGCTTTTCAATCTTTGTTTTTCATCAGCTTCAATCGAATCTTTTCTTTATATTGTGAAAAGTTGACCAATTAAAATCCTTGAGCCACAATTAAAATCCCTTGTACCACAAAGTCATTCGTTAACATACTTTCAGATCTGGATTCCGACCCGCTCGCCGCTTACCTCGCCCGGCTCGCCGTCCGCCACAATCGGACCTAACGTCATCACAGTCGGGCTGCACCCCGCACGCAGCCACTTTCCTTGTAGCCTTCTCCTCCACCTCCGCCCGACCGACGGCTACTCTGTGCGGATTATTGTTGCCAACGAAGGTAAACAGTAAAGAAGTTTGAAGCATAAACTATGTCACAATGATTTGATTTTATAACTTGAGATTTCCAAACATTTTTAAAATAGTTTGATTTTTTAATTGTTAATTAATAGTTAGTCGTTTCTTGATATGTGGATTTTGTTGGAGCATGACAAATCATATATGTTCACATGTTCTTTATAGCTTTTAGATGATATGTGGATTTTATATGTTCAGGTGTTCTTTATAGCCTTTTTCCTTTTTGTTTCTTCATTTCAGTTTCATTCGAAGTGATAATGAATGGGTTAAGATTTAGATTTTAAAGTTCATAAAGCCCACACCTTAGTAGTTAGTATGTGTGTTGCAGTGTAGTAATTCATGCAGAGTAAAACATCTCCCTGTTCTTGAATTCCCATTACAAAAGAAAAA